AGAATTGACAGTTAAAACACGCTATTGAAATGGTCTCTATTCAATGCTGATACTTATTTACCCAAAGCATTTTCTCAGGAACATAAATGAAATGAATAGCAGATGACTTCTGATCCTCTTTGTTTTGGCTATCACATTTAATCATGGTTACACATTAGCACCAAAATTCAGACAAAATACAGAATTACAAGAGAGACTTTAAATGATGTGAGCTCAGTGCATGCTTCATACTGTCTCATCTCTGAGAAAATGATTCCAACTGCCAAAAGTTAGCTGTGTTTTTACCGAAAAGAAATATATCCCACCCAAACTAAACAAAAGATACCATAGACTGATTTTTGAATAGATATGTTATCTACAATTCATAGGACAGACAGTCCATTTAAATAGAAAAAGATTGATTTTTACATAAAGCAAGATAGAGCACAAAAGCACAGCTTTTGTGATTTTGGTAATATTGCAATTGTACAAACATATTGCATAGTGTGTGTAAGAAAATAGTTCCATTTCTTCATATATCTATATATACAAGAAAACATTTACATGAAAGTTACAAAACAAAATAAATGAATAGTGAATCTGATTCAAAGAATTATATAAACAAACTCTGAATTACGAATCTCCATTGTTAGTCATGGCCTTGTCCATCTTCAACCCTGCTTGGCTTTTATTTCTAAACTTTCAAACAAATGAGACGTTAAAGCTGCAAATCCAGAAAAAAATTACAGTTCATTCAACATCGTGTTTATCGTTACTATCTCAAAGATTGAGCCACATTAATTAACACTTTAAAAATAGCCCTCTAGTTCTAGAAGTATTTCAAATCATGTTTTCCAGAGATTATTTTTTGGCAAGCAATGAAAATTTAAATTCAGTTGAGCTAATCCATCCTGAGGCCGTTTGGGTTCCAGCATTTTTTGATTGGTTCTGTGAATACGGAGGAGTTCATTATTCATGTATAAAAAATATGGGGATCAAACTACTGAAGTGTCCTCACTACAACTAAAACATGAACTGATGCGATAGCTCAAAACCCTGCAGGAAGTATGTTTGCTACCTTGTGTCATAATTGCCACCCCCTATTTATTCTAATGAATTAGTAGAAGCAGCAGTGGTTTAGAGTTAAATGCGGTAGAAATCCTGGCCTTTGGTCTTTGATATTTCAATGACTATTGGAGTGGAGTTTAAAGCAATATCTATAAAAGTGCCCAGTGAGGTCATTCATTAACTTATAATTGTTTCAAGGGGATAAATTGCAATATTATTTCACTTCTTACATTTTTCACTAACATTATAATATACACGAACCTATAGATCAAATAATGGCTTCTTTGAAAATATTTAAATAGGGTTGTATGAGGAATTCTAATTAGGCCAAAGCTACCAGCAAAAGAAGGCAACGAGACCTCAAATATATAAAACTCAAAAAAAGTTTGACTCTGATGGTTGTTTAGAGAATTTGGCCATCAAATACCTTCAACTATAATTTACTGTTATGATGCTGTCATAGTTGCTATAAACAATAATGGTTACCTGCATCAGACACCCTCCTGGCTATTGGTGTCCCACAAAGATACTGTGTTTGCAATGATATAATCTACTAGAGGTTTAAATTTTATGTCAAATGGCATGCTTGGGAAATGAGGAACTGTCAGATTGAGACAGGAAAGTGTTATACTAGGTAGGCATTGTGAATGGCAAAGAAAGTTCAGGCATTTGCCATACTGATAACAATATCTTTCAAACACCAATGGTTTTTAGTGTGATGAAGGTCAATAATAACAGAAAGTAAACAGAATGCTTACATTTGATAGGTATTCCTTTATAATCCTAAAATATTATTGTCAATAAGACTCACAAAACACTCTTTTCCTAGTTAATATCCATATCACAGAAGATCATCAATCTATCATGATTTTTCCAAAGGGAACTTAATATTCAAATGGGAAGAGAAAAACTGAAATGTGAAAAACAGACTTGGATGCTGGAAAGATTTGCATTTTAACATATATGGACAGATTTTAACATATGCAAAATCATCACAAATTCTAGTTCAGCAGAGGGTGATGGACTCAAGATCATTAAGTCTATCATTAAATGAAAAAAGGAATTAAGAGATGAACATGGCCAAATAAAACATCTAGTTTAATACATCTCAGAGGACTATAATGCAGATAAAGAGTGAATATAGCTTTTAATTTATTATTTTAATTTTTTATGTATATGACTGTATTGCCTGCATGTATGTAAGTTCAACTGTGTTGTGTAATGCTGTCAAAGGTCAGAGAGAGCATTGGATCTACTAAAAGTGGAGTTACAGACAGTTGTTAGCCATGTGGGTGCTGGGAACCAAACCTGGCGCCTCTGCAAGAGCAGTCAGTGATCTTAACTGCTAAGCCATCTCTCCCACCTCAGCACTGAATATTTCTTAAAGGTGTGTACATCACTATTTAGAGTCAGAACCCAAATTGGAACTCCTATATCTATTTTCTGAAAATTAGGGTTCTGTCATCTAAGATTCCCATGTGAGAGTGAAGCTGAACTGCATTAGGCTAAATTAGACTAATGCTTACATGCTAGATTGTGAATTCTGTGGTTCACAATAAAAAATCAAGACTAGAAGTATAATGCATAAATTTTGGAGACATCGATCAAGAGAACCATTAAATATTAAAAGCATGTTTTTAAAGGTGATACTTTGTATTTTTGGAAGCATTTTATTGAAATATTATGAAATCATATATATCCTTTGGACCGCAAAGAAACAATTCAAATGGATTCATCCATTTCTGGATCAGAGTTCAAATGGCAGGACCTTGTACCTGCTCCTCTTCCATCCTTTCTCCTCCTTCTCACCTTCAGGAGCTAAAGGAAGTATGTGGTTAAGGAAGGAGTGATAGGAGAGCTGGGTAGAGTCCACTGAGCATGTCTACAAGGAATATCTTTCTGAGTGTGAGTTACAGAAGGTGAAATTTGTATCATTTAAATAAACTCCATAATATGTATATGTTGTGAACTGTAAAATGGTAATCTAAGGACCTGTGTATCATCCAAAAACAAAAGCTTGAACTATGGAATATGAAGAATTTGAAGCCATTAGGCAATTTTTTCAAGCCAGTTATTTAGTACTGGATGGGAAAGTCACCTGTCTCACCCCTTCATCTATTACCTTTAGCAGATGTATTAATATCATTGGTATATTTCTTAAATCTTTCAAGTGTCTATGGTTCTTTTGATTGAGTCTATCCTTTTCAGAGTATCTTTGAGTTAAATTTGTCAGCCTTTCCCAGTAGTTCATTTTTACCTCCTTCTTTCATTAGTGTTTGTCTTTGGTTACTTAAAATATGTAATTTAGCTTCTCAATATTCTCTTTATTTTGTGAAATATATGCTCTTAGAACATGTTAGAGCTAGATGCTTTCAGTGGACATATGATTCAATATTTTTCTTGTAAAGTTTGTGTTCTTCACAAACTGAAGCCTGGAGGCATTTTCATACTGCCTAGTGCAGTTTACTTGGTAAGAAAAAGATTTTAGAAACAGAATTATCAATCAAAAATTTATTACCCTTTTATTAAGAAATGATTAATTTTTAAAATTTAGTGTGTCTAAAACCTTGGTATGCCTCAAATTAATATAGAATGTCTCCCTTAACATAATGTAGTGACTAGCACCCATAACTCTCAAATTTCTAATCCTCTGAGTGACTATGTTGGAAAGACTAATTTGCAAATTTCATATATTAAATTCTGTTAGAACTTAAACTGTTATGATTTATCAAGCAATTATATATCTTAATTTGTATTTTAATAGTGATTTACAGATTTGTGTAATAACCCCAAAGCACAAGTCAGATATTGTTTTAAAGGATTAAAGTGAACTGCCTTGAAGGCCCTACAGCAAAGTGTAGAATGCATTTAGTGACATGGAACTTTCCCAATTACCTGAAATTCCAGACTATCCAAACAAGCTTACTCTGGCCAAATGGGTCCATTTCCTACTTGTGGCCTCCAAATTTCTCTTTTCACTAACCAGATTACTTCAAAATATTCCAATGTCTCACTTCATTTTTAACTGAACTTCATTTGGAGACCTGAACTTCAAAAATTCTTCAGTCAGGGAGCCCTGAAATGAAGCTTCCACACACCTGTTAATGATGTACATAGGTGTTAGGGGGATTGTGGTGAATGTAGAGTGACCAAGTCACCTTCTTGGACTAGGAATATGGAATGCACTTTTACACTCTTGTGTTCTGTAGGTTTCAGGAATTTGAGTCAAGGAGTATTGTAATAAACGAATCTATAATATTCTAGAATGATTATTAGAAACTAATTTATAAGACCAAGGAACTGAGAGAGGAAAGCGCTCTGATTTATGTTGTCAGGATAGCTTTGCACTGTAAGAGATGTGACTAAGTTGAGCAGAAATGTTTCTCAAGTCCTTAACAGAGAAAGCACATTTTAAAAATTTTATCAACTTTTGTCTTTTTGCTATTTTACTTTCTGGAATTTTAAATTTAATTTCTAACCTCCTTAAATATCAACCTTGAATTAAAGATGGATACTTTGACATTGATGTCTCAATGTAAAGCAAATGTTTTTCCTTAGCATTATGCATAATATTTTACTTATTTAAAGGTTTGTTTAATTTTAGCAATTAAAATAAAGTTTCATGTGAAAGGAGCAAACGCCAAGCCATGTGTAAAAGAATATTGTGAGACTTAAAAAAAAAATAGAGATTGATGGATTCTACACCAGCCTGTCTCTTCTTTCTTCTGTTGTAATAAATTAAATATTTTGTTAAAAGCAAATAAGTAACATGCAATAGCCAACTAAATATTGTGTAAGGCCATCCAGATCTGACAAGTGACAGTATAATGGCATTTTAGTTGATTTTGTAAAGATTATATTGCTGAGTGCTTTCAAAATTACCTAATGTACAAAATTCTAGACTTAGTAGACAAAGAGTAACAACACATTGAATTTAATGAAACAAATGAAACTCAGGGAGAGATTCTGTCTTATCTTGTTTCGTTTTGTTAAAAACCATGTATTGAATTTAATTTTTAGTAAAGCAAGCATTACATAATGCTTCAAAATTTTAAAATTCGGGGATAAAAGTTTACGTCCAAAAAAGATGAATGGAAAATTGTGCTTTCGGACTGCAGAGTTAGTTTTCGGACGGAGTTAAGAGTTTTCATGTCGCCATGGGATACGGAGATTTCATCTGGGTAGTGTATACGTGCGCAGTTCGTAGCCAGGTTCTGCAAAAATCTAAAACTGTGTGCTTCACTTCACATAGCAAAGGCACCTGTGTTATTCTCCCTTTTGAGCAAAAGTCATGATCCAGGTTTCCTGCTGAAGATGTATTTTCCGTGGCCGCATCGGTCGCACTGTGTTGAGCAGTAGGGGGAATCACGAGAGAAGGTGGAGGCCAATCCCTGCTGACGCTGGAACAAGTTGCTCTGTGGTTCATTTAAAGAAGCTCCGGATTGATCACAAGGGAAACCGAGCAGAACTGTGAAGCAGACGGACGGGAACAAAAGGCTTTTCTGGTGTGAGGAGAAATCAGTCGCTTCAGCTCCACAAGCAGATGCTGCTACTAGACTGACAAGTGGAGCCTACTCCTGCTGGAGAAAGGTAAAGTTTGCCGTTGGGACAGACGCACAGTTCGTACACTGTCTGTCGAGAGTTTGAGGAGCTGGCTGTAGAAGACGAGGAGCCTGTCGGTAGATTTCCTAGCCGGATGGTATCAGCATTTAGAAATATCTAAGGAGAAAAAAAAAAAAAAATCATCTCAATTTATTTCAGAACTTTGCAACAAGGTCTGTAACAGAGACACCTGGCCTAATTCTGTTGGCTTAGTTACCATCAGTTTTGAATAAATTACTATCCTGTGTATGGTCCAAATGTTCGGCAGCTGTCTTCTTTTTTGAGAGATGGTGCATTTGGAAAGCAAGCCCTTAACATCAAAAGTAGCATTGGACATTCTGCTGAAGGAGTCAACTCAGTTACCCAACCACCACGGAAAATTAATGTCTATGGCAGAGTCTTTCATTTTAGCTGTCTAGTCTTGCCTGAAGAATATACAGACAAGACAGCTGTGATGACTTTTTCGAGGGAGGGAACTATTAAATAAAAAATATGTTTCCCAGCCAGTCAAGAAAAACACTCATGAAAGAATGAGTAAAATAATTTCTAAAGCACCCAGAAAAGAATCACAGTCCGAAGGTCATATCAATTGGAAATTAACATAGCTAACAGATAATTCTACATAGCATCACATTTGAATTCTCTCTGAAATATTACTGTATTCAGCAGTGAAGTTGCTAACTCTTTAAATTTGGGGAATTACTTCACTTTTAATTTTTTATTGTGTTGATTTACTTGTGTATGTGGTGTGCCCATTTGCCTGACTGCGTATAGTAGAGATCAGAGGACAACCTGCAGGAGTTGCTTCTCCCTTCTGCCAGGAGGTCCTGGGGGTCCGATTCATCATCAGGCTTAGTGGCGAGTGCCTTTATGTACTAAACCATCTTACTCGCTCTTCACTTATTCTGAATCAGACACTTCCTTAACACAGGTAATGAATGTATGATTTTCATATTGTTGGGTATAAAGTTCTAAAGAAAGAAAATTTAGGTCATGGAGTCTCTCTTGCTGTTTCTTACTTTTATTTTTATGTAGCTGATTTTAGGTTTAAGAGCAGCTCTGATTTAATAGGAATTATTCCTTTTCCTCCTTCTTTGCCCTAATAATTTCTTTTTTTTTTTTTTTCCTTTTTGTCTTTTTGAGACAGGGTCTCCTTGTAGCCCCAGCTGTCCTGGAACTCACTATGTAGACCAGGCTGGCTTCAAAGTCACAAAGATCCGCCTGCCTCTGCCTCCCAAGTGCTGGGGTTAAAGGCATGCACCACCACGCCCGGTCCCTAATAATTTCTTAATAACACTTCTGCTATAGCTTTGCTGGCCTTCTAACTCCATTTTGTCCTCTCTGTTTCTAGTCTATATATATATATATCTGAGATGAACTTTCAAGACATGCAAGTTATGCCATGTCACTGCAGTTCTCAAAGCTCTCTAGTGGCTTTGAACGACTCCTGCATGAACCGGCTTATTCCCCTAACATCATCCTCTGCTGCTTTCCTCACTTGCATTCTTAGACTTTCCATGGGAAAACAAATGCACACGTCTTGGGGTGTTTGCTTCTTATTTCTTCACCCTGGGATATTTGTTTCACATATTTACAACTTGGAGTATATACTAACTAGGTTGTTGGAGAGAGATTTCTACTTTTCTACCAACTTCTTTTAATATACTTTAAATGTTTTTGAATTATAGGCAACTACATTAAATGGCAAATAAGGCAGAAAAAGGTATTCCTTATACTCCAAACTTATGTTTTGGGTTGGCTTAGCCCTATGTTTGTTCCAATCACTACTAAATGTCACCTCTTCAGAAAGAGATTACTAATCCCTCTGTTAAAATTACACTAATCCCTTAATCTGTTTTAACAGCCTTACTTTTCTCGGTAACACTAATGCTCTTATAATGTTGTGTTAAGCTTGTATTTGTTTACTCTGTGTTTTTACTACTTACAAGTAAGGCCCATGAGGGTAGACCTGTCTTTAGTTATGGCTTTGAAAAAGAACATGAAATTGAGTCGATGTGCTGAGAGCCATGCTGCCTTTCCTTTGCTTTAGATGTGTCCCTCTCTAGTAGGATACTAACGAACTATTCCCCAAAGTCAAGTGTAGTTCTCAACTCTCATCGAAGAAGCTTCTTCTTGCAAAAAATAGAGATTATTACAAACTTCCAAAACAGGTAAAATGCAAGAAATAAAAGACTGTGAAGTGATCAGCCCTAAGTGATACATCTACAATGTAACCCCTATACCTAAAGTTCAGGAACCATCTTGGAAGAGGGGGCTGAACGGTTTCAAGAGCCAGAGGGACAAGACATATTCTGCTAATTAATCCATTCTAGACTCAGTGGTGAAGTTACACCAATGTCATCCACACAGCATGGTTGATTAACAGTATCTATATCTGTGTAATGACAAAACTGGTTCACATGTCAATTTAAATGAAGAAAAATTCATGGGGCCCCTCTTCAAGAACAGCTATTGGTAATCAATGAATGCTTTGGAAGAGAGAATCAATTATTTCTATGGACTAGGTCCCTTCAAGGTTATCTGATCACAAGCAGGCATCCATAAACACATGTGCACAAGAGCACCATCAAACAGAGTCAGTGAATAATATATATATATATATATATATATATATATATATGTTTGTGTGCATAACAATAGTAGTCAAAGAAAAGGACAAGAAATTGTGATTATGGGAGACATTGGAGAAGTTGGTGGGGGAAAGGAAGGGGTGGGAATAGCACATATAATACTTAATCTATAAAATTCTCAAATATTCTTTAAAATGTTAATGAAAAGAAAGTATGATAGAAAACACTTTGGAAAGTGTCAACTAACTGTTCCATAGCTATTTCTTGATTAAGGAACAGGGAATCTGAAGAGGAAATGACTTCTAACATTTAAAGTTTTGTTTTTAATGTAGAAATAAATATATAAACTAAGGGAATGAATGTGGTCATGCACATTTTGATATGCATGTGAGGCTTTTATTTTTTCTTCTTCTTGCACTTTGCCCCATCTGTGGCTTTCATGTTGCGAAATGGTATGTCTTTCTGTTGAAAGAGCATGAGTGAATAGCTCCAGAGATCAGCTGTTTTATATAGTTGAGACCTTTAGACTGTAACTTCAGAATGTAGGTATATAGGTAGAAGTCTCATCCATGTGGTCAGCCCTGGAGAATCTGACCATGACAGTGCACAGGCTGCTTTTCATTGTGGGCACAGCAGGGGTCTCCAGCTCACACACCTATAGTGGTTGCTACAGGCAGTGCATGGCTTTAGTATAATAATTATTTTGCAAGTATTCTGAGATCCAAATGCTAGTTACACTAAACTAAATACCGGTTTTCTTAGTAAACTCATTCATAAGATCTATTAGAAAGAGGAAATGATATTTCTTTAGTTTGGGATAGAAAAATCAGCTATGAAGTTCAAAGAGCTCTTAGTTTTTGGTTCTAACACAACATTCCTGAGCTGTTCCAGGTTGCTATGGCATGCATGGTCTTGCCACCTCTTTCTCTTCTGCCAAGGCAGTTACTGTGCTGTTGTTCACATTCCAATTTCTGAAACCGATATGTCTGTTCTGTATTACCCTATAAACCACGCAGTCCATGTGCTCTAAAACTGATTCTTGTTATTGGAATCACATGCTGAGCTTTGAATCCACTGCTCATCATTCTTCATTCTAACAAAAATCCTGTTATCTTACCCTTAGCTACTGAAATCTGACCTATCACTCTTCTATAAAGTTTTAATCAATTTTAAGAATGAAAATTCTCATTCTCTCTAGGTGATATCCTGGTACAGGTGTTGCTGGGTGTTATTGTACCACAGATGCTGTTCTATCACTGTAATATTTTATTCTTAGTTACCACTCTTGTAGCCTTAAAGGTAGAATTTGAAATTCCTTGTAGAATGGTGTCTAACATTTATTGTTTACAGTCCAGACAAATTTCTACAGTTCAGAAAATATACAATTCCATTCTTCTGCATTTCAACACTATTTTTATGCCTGAGTATAATGTCTGCTACTGTGAGGTTGTTCACAGTCTATCCTGCTCTTGGTTTGTCTGGTTGTGCAAGGTGTGTTGATGGTCTATCCTGCTCTTGACTTGTCTGGTCTGTGTAGGAAAGATAAATACTTAACATTATTTCCCATTACTTCATGAGAAGATATGTTATTTTATTATAAGAAAATTTGTTTTACCTTCCTTTAAATTTATTTTATTAATATAAAATAAGTCAGAGATTAAAGTATCTGGTTATTAGTTGATGACATCATGAATCATGGGATTCTTCTGATACATTGAATAAATTACATAACTACTTACATGTATTATAGGACATTCAATAAAAATAAATTGCATGAAATGATAAGCATTATAAAAATAAATTCTTTTAAAAGGATGAAGGATATTTAACAAAGGTTTCTGTCCTGCCTTAATGGACAAAGTATTGTAGACTGCAATGTAATTGAAATAATTTCAGAAAGGATGTATGAGTGAATTTTTTAAATGTTGCAAAGCATACTTCTAAAGCACTTATGTTGTTCTATTGACAAGTTGTTACTATAGTCTTGTCAGTAAGTCTGTTTATATAAAGAATCAAGATATCTAGCTAAATTTATCTTGAAATAGCTAATGACCTAATTGCAGAGAGGTGAGGTTCTATTAATAAATCATATCATAATTACATCTGGAGAGGTGTGACTTGCACAAGCATCTCTCCCAGAGTTGCCTTCCACCTGTTTCTTCTCAACTTGATATTTCTGAGTTCATAACACAAAAACATAAACACATGAAAGAACACATGAAGAGAATGAATTGGTATGAATAACGGGTTTAAACCCTTAAAGGCTTTAGAGGTTGTAGTAAAAAATACAATACAGAATATGAATTATGTATAAGGATTTTAGAGTTAAAAATACAAACAGAACGCCAACATGTGCATACAGATTCCACAAAGAACAAATGAAAATCCTAGAAACAAACAAACAAAACCCTTAATCATCGTAATTAAAGCTTGATGTGTGGACTAAAAGGAAAGGACAGAAGCATGCGCAGGGCAGGGGGCTTGGGTTGTAAATTTGCTAGCAGAGGGAGGCTAAGGGAGAGAAAGATAGGAAATGAACCTGGGAGAGAGAAGATCAGAGATCTGGGAAGAAATGAAAAGAAAGAACATTCATTCAGTTTCCAAGAAAGATCATAGAAATAATTGGAGAGGTATTACCTGAAGAACTAAGAGTAAAATATTTCCAGAAATGGTAAACATGGAAATCAGCAAAATGCACTACAGTAATTGTAGTAAGTGTGGGGAATGAAATAATCATGTTTCTACCACATTACAGAGGATGGGAAAACATGGGCTATTTAAAGCAGACAGAAAAAAAAAAAAATGGATGATGTTGCCAGATGTTGAAAGGATATGCTTACAGTGGAAAAAAAATCATGGACAGTAAATATTAACCTACATATTCTTTCCAGGATATATAAATGAAAATAAATAGTAAACAAATGTTGCTTCTTTTTAAACAACTGTAGATTCGATTCATAGAGAAACAAACACCCAAAGCATTTTTGGAGGAACATTTTCTTTCTTTTTTCACTTATTTTTAATCAGATGGATGAACGTCTAAAAGTTGCACAGATTAATAGGTCATCATATGTTGTTCCACACATGTATATACTGTGTGATACTTAAATCAAGTTAAACATAGTTGCTCCCTCAAGGATTTGTTATTTTTTTATAGAAAAACTTAAAATTCTTTCTTCTAGCTTTTTGAAACGTCTACCTCATTGTTCGTCTCTACAGTTACCCTACTGTGCAACAGCCGTATATTGGAAATATGTGTTCCGCTATAACTATAATTTAACATGGGTTGCTTAATCACAGAGGAAATTCATGTTCCTCTGTAAGTATAATTTAGCATGAGTTGCTTAAGAACTTTTTGAAAGACACAAAGAGAATAAAAGAAAATATATTCATTTCATTCTTAATATTATCTTGGTATGTTTATACACCAACTTTGAAGCTGCAAGAGCTTATAGAGGTTCTTTTTAAAACCGATTTTTGAATCACAACATGAGCAAATGTTTTGCATCATAACATGAAGACAATGAATGTGTTCAGTAGACAAAACACGGCCCTTATTTAATACCATATTTAAGAAGTATAAAGATTTTCATAACTTGGAATTTCTCAGGAAGCATCTCTTCATGTCTTGGGAAACCTGATGCAGAGAAAGGAGAAGCATCTCCATCAGCAGCAGCAGAGGGCCAGTTCCGCCTGGGGACTCACCTCCCCCTCTGTAGACTGCAAGTGGAGCTCCTTTCTGCAGGTTGCCTTGAAATCACCTGCAGCAGCTCTCACCTGGACCCCTCGAGGAGCCTCCATTATCAAGGATCTGGTTGGTGATTCAAGCCTAAAGGTAAACAAAGAAATCTTTAACTTAAAATAGAAAACATAGAATGAACTGAAAGAAAGCATTAGTCAACCGTCAAAACTAAATTTAAAAAGCCAGCAGAAACCCAAATCCTTGCTACATCAAAGAAGGATTTTAAGCCATGATGATTTTTTATTACTTCATCTATTCTTTGGCTCATTTTAAAATCTTCTTTCATTCATATCAATTATTTACTCTCATGTATAATGATTTAATAACAATTTGTTATGCTATGTCTCTTTATCATACAAAGTAGGTCATAATAACTTTACATACTTAAATCTTTTATATATTATCAATATTAATGACAGAACTTTAATAAATTGGCATAATTTAGAATGCACATATTCCTCAATAAAGTGCTCCAACTCTGTGAATATGAACACTTTAATGAAAGTCATCAATACTGTGAAGACCCGAAGCCATACTGGCTTTGGTTTCTTTTCTCAGAAACCATAAGTTTCCCCTGCCCTAGACTACAGACTATGGATAAGACAAGCCCACGTATGCCCCCTTAACCCCAGGAGACCACCCTCACTCTCTAGAACTAACTACTCTTTTTCGCTTCTATAAACTGCTTGATCGCTTGACTGAAAGGACAAACTGTGTTGACCCCATTTTGACTAGCTGTTTCAGACAAGCCTGAACATGCCCAGGCATGTTGTAATCTCACATACCACCCGCACCCCAGGAGGCTATAGATCAAGCAAGCTCAGGCATATAACAGCCTTATAAGGTAGAAACAGAGACTTCTGGCCCCACAGATAACAGTTAGCACATTCCACAGTACTGAGGATAGCACCCACCAATGAGAGACCTCCAAGGATACATCTCTAGCAGCCAATCAATTCAAAAGTGTGTTGGCACATGTGGGCTCTTTGGACCAATCAAGATGTAACTCTGTTATTCTTTGTCTGGAACCTATAAAAAGCTTTCACCCCCTACAATTGGGGCTCTCAGCACAGATCCATTGCATTGGTGATGTCTGAGAGCCCGAGCTTAAGCCCAAATAAAGACTCTTTGTTCTTGCATGCCCTCTGGATTCTGTGGTTATTCTTGGGGGTCCGTTCGCTGGGCACAACATTTGGGGGCTCGTCTGGGATCCCCAAGACCACCCCCCCATGGGAACCCAGAGCGCTAAGTCTGCCTGATCTGATTGGTGAGTGTCTCTTGTCTTTGTGTCTTTTGTATTTGCGCGCATCTGGTTTTTGGGCCCAGTTTGAGATTGCCTGTTGGAGGTCTAGGCAGACACCCTGGAAGGCCCCAGGCCGTGGGACTTGGGAGCCATCCCAGACCCACCTGGTGGGAATTGGATCTCCTTCATAAATTTGGAAGGATGGAGCAGGTCTCGCCCGCCAGGTGGCGAGAGGCCATTGTCCTATTTTCAGTTTAAGGCACCAACGAACCATGTGTTGTTTTTCCGTGTGTTTGTGCTTTTTGTTGTGTTTGTGACTCTTACTACGTTAGAAAAGATGGGACAGAACCAATTAATTCCTGTTAGCCTTTTCCAGGATCACTTCTCGGAGTTCAAAGCCCAACCTGATAGCTGGGTTCAAGAGTAAAGAAAGGGAAGCTTTTCATGTTTTGCAGGAATGAATGGCCGACCTTTGGGGCCAGTTGGCCTGAAGAAGGGAAGTTTGACCTGCCCACCATCTACAGAGTAAAGGATATAATTTATGGCTGTCCAGGCCACCATGATTAGGTCCCTTACATCACGACTTAGCAGGTTATGGTGGAGGAGCCTCCAAAATGGTTAAAGCCATTCCTTCCTCCTCCCCCCACCAGCCCAAAGCCAACTGTCCTCACCCTGCACGAGGATGAGTGGCAGAGAACTGAAACTAAACCCTCTGCCCCTCTCTACCCTCTCATGCAAAGAGGCACAGGGGAAGAACTGCTTGAGCCACCCTCCTATCAGCCTGTCCCACAAGCAGAGCCTCAGAACACCCTGGGGGAGGTGGAGGCAGCACCACCCCAGAAGGCAGAATAACACCCTCCCCAGATATGGAGGAGGGTCCAAAGGGGGCAGCCACGGCTGGTGGCAGACTCCTCTGTCCTCCCCCTCTGGGCTGTGCGGTCGCTCACTGAAGCAGGGTACCAACAGATGCAGTATTGGTCATTTGCAACTAGCGGCCTCTACAACTGAAAGCTACAAACAGCTAAATTCTCTAAAAAGCCCCAAGGTCTAATTGATTTGCTAGAATCTGTTCTGTTTACCCACCAGCCCACTTGGGATGATATTCAGCAGCTTTTGCAGGTCCTGTTCACCACTGAAGAAAGAAACCGGATCCTGATTGAAGCCTGCAAGCTGGTCCCTGTGGTGGATGGGAATCCCACCACCAATCAGACCCTGATAGGTGAAGCCTTTCCCCTGGTTAGGCAGAATCGGGACTTCAATTGGCTGAAGGTAAGAAGAGGCTCCGGGTTTACCACCAGAGTCTAATGGGGGGTCTCTGGGCAGCTGCAAGGCATCCCACCAATTTGGCCAAGATTAGTGGTATCCAGCAAGGGAGAGCAAAATCACCCACAGCATTCCAAGAAAGGATCCTTGAGGCCTTCCGTACCTATACTCCAATGGACCTGGAACCACCCGAGAATAAGAATGCAGTGATCCTGGTGTTCGTGAACCAGTCAGCACCTGATATTAGGTGCAAATTGCAGAAATTGGACAGACTGGCAAATAAAACCCTTCCAGAGCTTCTGACAGTGGCTGAGAAAGTCTACAATCATTGAGAGAGTCCTGAGGACAAGCAGGCCCAGGTTGCCGCCGCTGCCAGAACCAAGCAGACCTGCGACTTTGCCAAGATTATCCTGGCTATGTTGACCAGGTCCCCAGATGAAAGAGAACGCCAGCTGCGATGCCTATGTGCTGAACAAGGTAGGAGATGGGCAGAAGGGCAACCAAAATTGTTAAAAATCCAGTGCCCTATTGTAAGGAAATGGGCCATTGGAAGAAGAAATATCCAGGAAGACCGGCCGGGCAGGAGAAGGTCTGTGAAGGAACACAAGTCCTGGAGCTTGGGGAATGAAGTGAATAGGGAGGACAGGGTTTGGATCCGCTTCCTGAGCCCAGGATAACTCTCAGAGTGGTAGGGACACCTGTGAGTTTCCATGTAGACACAGGTGCTCAACATTCAGTGTTAACAGAGACCCTAGGGAAATTGTCAAACAAAAGGTCTTGGGTACAGGGAGCAACTGGCATGAACCAATATTCATGGACCACCCAAAGGAAAGTGGACTTAGGCATGGGCCGGGTGTCCACTCCTTCCTAGTCATGCCAGATTGCCACTACCCACTCTTAGACTTGCTTACCAAAATTGGAGCCAACATCCATTTTTCACCTAATGGGTTTCATTTAGTAGATAAAGGAGGCCACCCCATTTAGGTACTGACCTTGCAACTGGAAGACGAGTATCAACTGCACCAAAAACTGGACCCACAGCCAATGGAGGAGATTTCTCTTTGGCTATGGGAATTTCCCCTGGCCTGGGCCGAGACTAGAGGGATGGGGCTGGCAGCTCGCCGGCCACCCATCTGGGTGGAGCTGAAACCAGGAGCCCTTCTGGCATGGGTGAAGCAGTATCCATGTCCCATGAAGCCAGATCAGGGATTACCCCACACATCTGGAGGCTAAGAGACCAGGGCATCCTAGTACCCTGCAGGTCTGCATGGAATACACCTCTCCTCCCAGTAAAGAAGCCAAACTCAAATGATTACCTGCCAGTATAGGATCTGAGAGAAGTAAATAAGCGGGTCATGGATATCCATCCCACAGTACCTAATACCTATACCCTCCTGAGCTCCTTGCTGCCCTCCAGGAGCTGGTATACTGTACTAGATTTAAAAGACACCTTCTTTAGCCTGCCCTTAGCCAAGTACAGTCAGCCATTCTTTGCCTTCGAATGGCAAGATATAGAGGTCGGTTTCAACGGACAGCTGACCTGGACTCTCCTGCCTCAGGGATTCAAGAACTCGCCCACTCTCTTTGATGAAGCACTTCATGAAGATTTGGGTGAGTACAGCCTGGAACACCCCCAGCTCACCCTATTGCAGTATGTAGATGACATCCTGATAGCTGCTGATGACACTCTACTATGTCAGCAAGGAACTAGGGATTTGCTGGAGACTCTGGGCAGGCTAGGATATTGGGCATCCACTAAGAAGGCACAAATGTGTCATTGAGAAGTGATTTATCTAGGGTACATTCTAAAGGAAGGACAAAGATGGCTCAGAGATGCCAGGAAAGCAACAGCGCTGAAAATTCCAGTCCCCAACTCCCAGGGAGCAGTGAGAGAGTTTCTGGGATCAGCAGGGTTTTGCTGCCTCTGGATCCCGGGGTTTGCTGAATTGGCTAAGTCTCTCTATGAGGCTACAAAAGAGAATGAGACTTTTGATTTCACAGGGGAAAGAGAAAGGGCCTTTAATGAAATTAAGCAGGCCCTCCTGACAGCCCTGGCTTTGGGGCTTCCTGATGTCACCAAGCTTTTCCACCTCTACATAGATGAAAAGAAAGGAATAGCCAAAGGAGTCCTGACTCAAATGTTAGGGCCCTGGAATAGACCGGTGGCATACTTATCTAAAAAACTTGATCCAGCAGCTGCGGGATGGCCACCATGTCTGCGGATTATAACTGCTACTGCCCTTCTAGTCAAAGATGCAGAAAAATTGACATTAGGGCAAGAACTGCACATCACCACTTCTCATGCTATTGAGGGAGTTCTTAAGCAGCCACCGGACTGCTGGTTAAGCAACGCCCGAATAATCCATTATCAGAGCTTACTTCTTAACCCTCTGAGAATTCAGTTCCTCCCAAGCACTGCCCTTAACCCAGCCACCCTGCTGCCAGACCCCGACTTGGATGCACCCCTGCATGATTGCGCAGGGATCTTGAGCCAGGTACATGGGCTCAGAAATGACCTGACCGATCGGCCACTCTGATGCAGAAGCTACCTGGTTCACCGATGATAGCAGTTTCATAAAGG